TCTAATTTGGCGTGTGTCTGGTTACTCTCGGCCCGTCCATTTCACTAGCCTAGAGCTTACTAATGTTCAGACTCCTTAAGAATCTGCCCAATATGATGGATGTTCTAATAAACCTTGTCTTTGGCTGAAAGAAGGCTTGGGTCGAATTCTTTTGGGCAGTATCTGCATGTTGTGATTTTGAGGTCCCAGCACCCCTGAACCCCTAAACCACATCACATAGTCATGAATTTTTAAAATTTACATATCCTTCCAGTCACTGAGGCTGACAACCTAAGCATTATCAACTCTTACCCTACATACACCAACTATGGCCAATCTTATCACATTTACCTCCACAGTATTTCTCACATCTTTCCCCTTCTATCTACTCACATAGGCATTACCCAAGTTCAAGCCCTTATTACTTCTTACCTGGATTTCAATAGCTTCCTAACTGGTCATGTGGTTTTAAACTTTCTCCATACCAATGTACCCTCCACAGAGATGCCACAGTTATTTTCCTAAAACATAGGTCTAATTATGTCATTCTTCTACTCAATAAACTACAGATCGCTATTGCTTTTAGGATCAAATATAAACATTCCTGTTTGGATTTTAAAGTCTTGGGGCAGCTAGATGGTACAGTGGATAGAGCACCGGCCCTGAAATCAGGAAGATCTGAGTTCAAATCTGGCCTCAGACCAAACAGTTGCCACTTACTAGCTGTGTGACTCTGGGCAAGTCACTTAACCCCAATTGCCTTAAAAAAAAAGATAGGATTTTAAAGTGTTGTACAACCTGGTCCCAAGCTACCCTTCCAAACCTGTTATCAATTATTCCCTTTCCTGCATTCTATTCTCTTGTTCTCATACACAACCTTTCCTCTGTCATCTGTGTACCTTTGAAAAGGCTGTTACACATGACTAGAATGCATTCCATTATGACCTCTGCCTCTCAGTCTCCTTGTTTTGATCAAAATTCAGTTCAAATTCTACAACTCTTTCAGCTTTTAGTGTCATTCACAACAATATTTTATCTGTACACGTTAACTGAGGAACTAATGTGAATAGTCTAAGCCTTTATTCCTTGAGTCAACCAATCTCCAGTAATAAAGACAAAGAGATAGATGGACAGATAGATAGATAGGTAGGTAGACAGACAGACAATCTGTTTTTCCTCCAAAAGAATTTCGAAGAGCTGCTCTTTAAGAGCAGGAATAGTTACATATCATTGTTTCATATTTTTATTTTAATGTCCTCAGTACCTTGTAAGATACCTAGCAAATACTAGTTGTTTGATAAACGCTTGGAGAACTATTTCTTTTTTCTTAAAGAGGGTAAAACTTTTTTCTTGTTTTTTCAGTTCTGTCATTCTATATTTTTGTTGGCATTAATTGATTTCCTTTGAATTCTCAAGTTAGTTCATATACAATTATATATATTAGCCTCAGATAATTCTTTTTCTTCTCTGTGGTAAATTCACCTTGGGGGTGGGGGGAGAGCTAGGTGATACAGTAGATAAAACACCTGGTCTGGAATCAGGAACCCCTGAGTTCAAATCCAGCCTCAAACACTTACTAACTGTGTGGTGCTGGGCAAGTCACTTAACCTTTGTTTACCTCAGTTTCCTCATCTGTAAATGGGGATAATAATAGCACCTACCTCTCACAGTTGTTATGAGGATAAAATGAGATAATAATAGTAAAGTTCTTAAGTATAGTGCCTGGGATGTAGTAAGCACTACATAGATGATACCTATTATCATTATCATCATCATTATTGCAATCTGATTTTCTTCTTTCTTTTTCTCAATAAGATTGGTTGGTGATTTATTTTGTTAGCCTTTGTCAAAACAGCACTTATTTTTATCAGTTGCATGCAATTTTTATTTTCAAACTTTTCCTTTGTGACTAAATCTCAAGATTTCATTTATTGTATTAATCTCAAGTGAAAGTTATACAGGGAGTTCCTGCTCAGATATGTTTTGGACTTCTGAGATTTCATTCAATTCTACATTCAATAATGTACAATAAAAATTAAAATAATAATATTACTGATGCTTAGAAAGTGAAATTTTTATCTAGAAAATTCAGTTATTTGAAAGAGTTCATTTCCTGATATTGTACCAGCCAAAAAAAAAAAGTTACTATTGTGTGATCTTTGATAACTACAAACACATTTAGAAAAACCCAGAACCGTGTATATGAATTAAATAAAAATCTCTCCCACAGTGAAACTCTTATCTATTTTTAATGGCTACATTTCAACTTGTATATAATGGATTCTTTCGAATCACATGGGCAATAAAAAAATCAGATGATCAAAAAATAAGAACCAAGACCAGAATGCAAATGAGTCTACTGTAAACTGTTGGTTCATCCTAATGTTTTGTTTCTGGATTTAATATACTTTTTGTTTTGCTTTTTTGTTTTGCCTTTGGATTTAATATTAAATTTATTCCCAAATATATTCTTCCTCAACCTCTACTCAAGTACCCAGCACACCTTCTGCTATAACAAAGATTTCAAAGGAAGAAAAAAGAGTTCAGTAAAACAAAGTGTTCTATTTGAAAGCATAAACAATACTGCATAACCACAGTGCCACACAAATCCAATGTAAAGGAGAAATAGAATTCAATTATAATGCTGTTTTATTTGATGACAAAAAAGCTCATTTTCCCTGGCAAGCCAAAAAACTATGTATCATCATTTAGGATGTTTTTATATTCGGAGTTAGTAAGAAAAAAGAAACACAACCCACCATTTCGTGTCATTTGAAACCTACCTGATTGTCTCATTAGTTCTCCTCCCAAACCTCTGAAAATAAAAAATAAAAAAAGAGAACATGTAGATCATTAAAGTGGCATTACAGAAATAATGGTCAAATAATCTAATCCAATATTTCAAAAATCTATAATTTCTGTAAAATCTATCATATCACCCATATTCACTATACATATTTCCTCAACCAACAAAGCATTCTCTCAACACATGAATAGGTTCTTTCATTTCATTCCTGTGGCCAAAATTATTCTTTACCTAATGACAAACTTTTCAATAATAAGTCTCTCCAGATTAAGATAATAGAATTCTTTTTTTTTTTTTTTGATGAAGCAATGGGGTTAAGTGACTTGCCCAGGGTCACACAGCTAGTAAGTGTTATGTGTCTGAGGCGGAACTTAAACTCAGGTCCTCCTGACTCCAACGCGGGAGCTCTATCCACTGTGCCACCTAGCTGCCCCAAGATAATAGAATTCTTTTTTTTTCTTTGTTTTGTTTTTTGGTGAGGCAATTGGGATTAAGTGACTTGCCCAGGGTCACACAGCCAGTAAGTGTCAAGTGTCTGGTCCGAGACCAGATTTGAACTCAGGTCCTCCTGACTCCAGGGCTGGTGCTCTATCCACTGCGCCACCTAGCTGCCCCCCATAATAGAATTCTTAATGAACGGTCTTGTCACAATGCAAAGAACTTAGGCTATACTGGCATAGTCTTTTAGAACTTGGAGAAGATGTCAGTGGAAAGGTCAAATAGCATAATCAATTAAAAATATAAAGCAGAAACATACATCTACACATAAAGTAATTCAGGGAAAATTTCTTTACATCAAGTATCTCCAGGAAAATTTAGGGTCCAAAACATATAGGAAAATAAGAAAAATATATAAGACCAAGAACTCTTCCCCAATAAGATATGTGGTCAAAGAACATGAATACTTTATCTTGGTGTTTTGTTTTTAACTCAATCATTACAAATTCCCAAAGAAGCAGGTTCTCTGACCCCCCCAAAATGTCTCAATACACACTGAGTCTATCATCTCTATCTGAAAGTGAGTAGCACCTTTCATAATGATTCCTCTGGAATTGTGGTTGGTCAGACTGTTGATAAGATTCTAAGTCTTTCAAAGTTGTTTGTCTTTTTTGTTTTGTCTATTGTTACTGTGCAATTATTTTCCTAGTTCTCTTCATTTCAGTTTGCATCAATTCATACAAGTCTTCCCATGTTTCTCTGAAACATCTTTCATATTTTGATTTTTTTCTGTTTCTTATATAAGCATAGCTATCCCAAGTATCCCTTCCTCTCCCCCTCCCAGAGAGCTACCCCACATGACTAATAATATTCTTTAGAAGAGAAAAAAATCAGCAAATCTGATTAATACAAAGAAAAAGTCTGAAAATATGTGCAATGTATAGTACCTGTAGCCCTCTCCCTCCACAAGAGGGTAAGCTGAAAGTGTCTTCTTTAATTTACTCCTCGTTGATCTTTGTAATTGTGTTAGAATCACTTTAGATTTTTTTTAGATGTGTAGTTGTTGTTTCCCCTTACATTGTTGTATATACTGTGTATAGCATTTTGTTGGCTGACTACTTCACTTGCATCAGTTCCTATATATCTTTCCACGTGTCTCTTTATTCATTACACAATTCACTTCTTACAGCACAGGAATATTCCATTATATACTTTTTTTTTAACCTTTCCCCAATTGATGGGCATGTACTTTGTTTCCAATTTTTATCTATGACAAAAAGTGCTGCCATAAATATTTTATAGTATGTGGGGGCTTTCTTCTTACTGATAGCTTCCGTGGGGTATAAGCCCAGTAATGGAGCCTATAATTCAAAGGGTATGGACATTTTAGTCACTTTATTTGCATAATTCCAAATTGTTTGCTAAAATAGTTGTACGATTTGACAGTTCCACCAACAATGTATTATGGTGTCTGTCCTTCTACAACCCTTCTAACACTGACCATTGTTGTTTTTTGTCATTTTTGCCAATCTGAATGGTATGAAGTGAAACCTCAGAATTGTTTTTATTTGAATTTATCTTATTATTAGGGATCTGGAGCATTCTTTCATGTGGGTGTGAATAATTTGCAATTTTTTCTTAGAGAATTGTATGTTCATATCCTTAGACATTTTGTCTATTGGTGTATGACTATTAGTCTCACATATGTTTATTAATTGTGTATATATCTTAGATACCAAACCCTTATCAGAGAAATATGATACTAAGTTTTTCCAATTTGACTACTGATGCATTAATTTTCTCTGTGCAGAAGTTTGCATTTTCAAGTAAATCAAAGTTATCAATTTTATCTGTTGTAATTGCCTCTATCTCTTATTTAGTTAAGAATATATTTCCTACCCATAGCTGTGAAGTATATATCTGCAACTATTCTAATTTTTAAATAAAATGATCTTTAATACCAAGGTCATGTATACATTTAAAATGTATTGTAAAATATAGTTTAAGGTGTCAATCTAAGTCTAAATTTTGCCAGACTACTTTCTAGTTTTCATAGCATTTTTTAATCAAATGACCAAGTTTTTTTT